CTTCAGATGCTGGTGCAGCAGCAGGTGAAACGCGGGGAAGCAGCAGGCTGGAGTCGTCGTTTGAGAACCTGTCCTTGGATTCGGATGAAGCAGGCTCGTCAGAAAGCTCTGCTGCTGCTGTCGGCACGGGGCAAGCACAGCCAGCATTATTAAGAAATTCACAATTTTACCCCAATTCGGACGAAGCGGGCTCGTCAGAATCCTCTGTTGCTTGGGAGGAGCAGGCAATGGCAGCACCGCGAGCGGCTCCTACTGGGAGGGAGGAAAGCTCCTGGACGGTTCAAATGTCCTCCTATTGTTCGCAAACATTGCTACGGGAAGAGGAGGGCAAGGCTGGATCGGTAACCGCTGTTTGTCCTGGAGAGAAATTTGAAGCTGACAGCAAGACCTGGTCTGATGCTGCATTTTTTCCCAAGGACACTGAAGGGGACAGAAAGACATGTTCTGACGCTGCAGTTTATCCAAAGGACACTGAAGGGGACAGCCAGCCCTACAATGAAGCGGACAGCAAGATGACATCTGACATTCCGTTCTCCCCTCGGCAGCAGCTTTCAAGAAAGTTCTGCCGGTTGTTGGAATGCTGGGCTGGTGCGAAGGGCAGCAGAGGAAGAGGAGCGTGCGCGAGGGGATGTGACAGAGGGAGGGTTGGGGAAGATGATGGGGGAGGGGCTGGCATGGGAAGCCGAGGTAGGCTGAAGAAGTGGTGGGGAGGTGTGTAGTTATGGTGCATTGCGAGCACATCAGTTACTGTGTCTGTAGATTTAGATTGGGAATGCGGATGTATATGGTAGATGTCAGCAACATGACGTGAGAGGAATTTGTATTGCACGCCAGGTTCTTAGTATGAAGTGATGCAACTGTTGACTGGGTGGTTTAAGATTCATGTGTCCACTAATGGTTAGCAGAATTAGTATAAGGTATTAACAAATGCATCCATTAATCTATACCCCGCACACAACGCACACACCCTAGCACAGTCACTAACGCACACACACACGCGCTCACCACACTCTGCACACTAGGAACCACCTGCTGCAAATCTCAGCTCTCAAAACGGTGGAGGCAGACGGTAAAGAGCCACTGCTTACGAGCAGCGTGATATACGGTAATAAGTTAGTGCGGAGACATTAAAAATACCAGCTTTTCCATCACCGTGACTCAGATGGTCGCTGCGAATTTAAGCCACTGCTTCAGAGTAGGCGACTTCTTCAGAGCGGCCTTGAGCTCTCCACCCTTCTCCGCAGGCTTTGCGGAACCTTCCTGGGAAGCCTTCTTTGCCTTGGGACTCGCCGCTGCCGCGGCCTTGCCTCCCTTGGGCACCTTTCTACGCGCTGAGCCATAGGATTTAGTCCCCGCAGTCGCCGCGCGCGGCGCGGGCGTGCGAGACTTGGCAACTTTAACGTCGGCGGTGGCGGCGGCGCCGCCGATGTCAGACGCCGCGGCGGCGTCCACGCTGTAACTGTACATCTGCGCGACGCGCTCCAGATGCTGCGCCTCCATCAGCGCGTCGACCACGCGCATGCGCGCCGCGTGGAGGTCCTTCCGAATCGCCTCCTCAGATACCACCTCCGCGCCGAGCCCGAGCGCGAGAAGTTCAAGAGGGGCAGGTAGTTCCTGGGACAGGTTCATCTGGTGAACCTGGTCGGCTGGGAGCTGGGTGAAGGTCGGATCTGCTTCGAGGAACATCAGACGGTCGAGAAACTCCGTCTCCCAGTACCCCGCGCCGATCACGGCGTCCATCGCGCGCTTGCGCGCGTCCTCCGCGATAACTACCGCGGACTTGGCGGATTCCGCGCCGGCGGCGGATGCGGATTTGAGTTCGTCGGTGATCGCCTGGGCGGTCGAGTCGGGAAGCGCCGTCGGCGCCGCAGTTGGCGGCGTGTATTCCGGTGATGGCGGAGGCTGCTCAAGGGCTTCGGTGATCGCGGCGGCTGGTGCGGCGAGGGAGAGCTGCCCCGTGGACGAAAAGGACGACCTTCGCGAATGGCTGCAGAATCCCGCGGTCGCCGTATTACCATAGCCGGCGAAATCCGGGAACGACGACGCTGCGACCGTACCGTGCGAGTGGGTGGCGAAGGAGTGGGTCGCGTGCGATGGAATCGCGGAGTTGGCGACGGAGCTGCTGGCGAAAGGGTCGGTGTGGTGCAGCGGCTGTGGGCATGCGATGAGGGACGACGTGCTGCGACGCGAAAAGGAGCTGCGGCGCGTCGAGACGGACTGGTGCTGCGAAAAGGCGGGCGCGACGTTGGTGTCGGGCGCGATCAGCATCGCGAGGATCTTCCCCGTTGGCTTCATCCTTGCAGGTGAGAGAGAGAGGCAACCAGACTGGTTGTTCTCACACTCACAAAGCTGTACTCGTTCGCAGGAAGAGCTACGGACGAGTTTACTCACGAGTTGTTTGTGTGACTTGGAGAAAAACTCGCGAGTGAAGGAGTAAGAATGACTGGGGGTAGCACGGGAGGTCGGCACCAGGAGACGGTGGACTATAGACGACAGTGTCGCGCGAGGTGGTAAATATAGCTCGTCCCTTGGTGCGTGTGCTGCGTAAGGACGATCCTAGAGTGGTCGCGCCAACGATGACGTTTCGCTCCGTCCCAGGAGGAAAGCAGCGGAAGGGCATGCAGCATAGTTTGTCTTGTTTTGAGACGAGGGAAGCAAAGCAAAGGAGCGGCTGTGTGTACAGCGTAAAATGCAAATTGCAGCGAAATTTGCTGAAATTCCGAGGTGAGGGGAGATGGATGGACGGACAGCAGGAGGGGCAGCGAACTGTAGCTTCAGCGTGGAGATGCTACGCGTCGCGAAAAAATAGGAATTTGGCCGATGTCCACCGACATGTATGTGCTTTCGAGCCGCGCATTGGTGTTTTGTGGTGTGAGTGGATTTTTTTCTCCCCTCCTTTCGCGGATGTCGCGGTCAGGTTCAATGCAAAAATCAGGTGACACGTAAGGAGTGGAGCGCTTACGCTGTCGTGAAATCGAACGTGAGCCATAAGAAAGATCGAGAAACGACAAAATGGAAACACCTTCGTTTGCATCTCTCATCCGCAACCATCAACTCGACAGCTGGTATAAATGACCCATCCAATCATTCGCATTCGAGAAGCAAGCGAATCATGAGGGACACAGTTTAAAAATCTCGGCGCCGATCTCAGCCACCAGATAATCTGTAATTGAGCAGGAGCCACGATGTCTTGGTTTTTGGGCACTAGGTGGCATCTTTCTTCCACGTGAGAAAGCCACGTGGTCCTATGCAATATAGGCGAGATTACCAGCTTATATACACTAGCAATGCATTAATCATAAGTCAACACGAATTACAAGCTATGTCAACACTGACTTGTCGTTCCAGACCTCCAGAGAACATCCAGGTGTTGCTGGAATCTTCCAATTTTTTTTTACAAGAGAAATTATTCCCCAAATGAATCATCACATATAGCAGTCTAGAAAAAGAAATTCCTGAAAGTAATTGTTATTAAAATTATTGAATATATTCTATTTCCAATGTTATGTGTCGATGTAGTATAATGGTCAGTATCTCCGCCTGTCACGCGGAAGATCCGGGTTCGATCCCCGGCATCGGCGTTTTGTTTCGCCTAGAGCTTTCCGTCACCGATTCGGAACAATTCGCACTAAACTGACCAACCGCTGAAGCCTATTTTTCCAGCAATTTCCGGCTGCGCGCCGATGGCTGCATCATCGCCATTCCCGCCTCCTGGTGAGCGCTACGCTGCTCCTTGTTCTATCCTCCCCCACCCTCCCCCCCCCCCCCCCCCCCCTCCCCCGCCCCCGCATTCGTCGCTGCACCTTCCAGAATTTATTGTTCCAGTCACAGGATCATATTACTCTTTACTGTCGGAGACTTTCCGTTGAAAGAGGTGTATGACGTTTTTCGTCGACTCGGGTTGTGACGGTTTCCGTCAGCGCAGGTAGCTTTCTGGCGGCGGCGGCGAAAGCGGAAGAGGAGGAACGAAACGGAAACGTTAAGGTGGGAGGGAGACGGGCAAGTGGGTGGGAAGGAAGGGCGGTCTTAAAGGACGTGGGAAAGTTCTAGGAAAGTCCGGGGGCGGAAACGACTGAACGGGGGAATGAGAGAGGAGAGGGTGAGGAACGGCCTTTGAGACGTCTCGGAACTAGAGGAACAAGGGGTTGCGTCTTTGCGTCTGTGGCGAGGACAGAATTGTCTTAGGACATTTTCCAGTGAGCAGCAGCGCTTAGGTTCAGGCTTAAGCAAGTAGGAATAAGCAGTGAAATTCTAACACTAGCTAATAGCCAAGAGCTTGTGAAACTGGAACTCTTCTCGTTAACAGAAAAAATTGTAAAAATTGTAAAATTGTAAAGGTGAGAGACGGCATGAGGTCACCACCATTTCCATGGACCATTTCCACCCCACCCTGCTCCACCCCACGCCATCCCACCAAATCCCACCTCGCCCCGCTCCACTCCACCCCACCGCATCTCATCCCCCCAGGGAGCCAAGGCAGTGTACGAGCAGTTGGTGGGTGATGCCGCCACTCGCTGCCCCCTCGCTCACATCCAGGTACCTTCCCCACGCATGCCTTCCCCACGCATGCCCTCCCCACGCATGCCCTCCCTTTCACTACCCCTTTTCCTTGCACCCTTATCCTAACCCCTTTCCCTAACCCGGCCCTAACCCCTTTCCCTAACCCCTTTCCCTAACCCCTTTCCCCTTCTTGCTGTACCCCCCATGTGTTCCTGCCACCCCTCACCCCTCACCCCTCACCCCTCACCCCCCACCCCCCACCCCTCACCCCCCACCCCTCACCCCTCACCCCTCACCCCCTCACCCCCCACCCCTCACCCCTCACCCCCCACCCCTCACCCCTCACCCCTCACCCCTCACCCCTCACCCCCCACCCCCCACCCCTCACCCCCCACCCCTCACCCCTCACCCCCCACCCCTCACCCCTCACCCCTCACCCCTGTCAGCTCATGCGCTTCCTCCGCCGCACAGAGGGCAGATAGGCGTTTCTAGCAACGAGGATGACGCAGGAGATCTCACTCATCGAATACCCTCTCTGTATCCCCTCCCCCCAATCCGTTCCCTCCTCCAACCCCTTCCTTCCACCCCACTCAGTTCATGCGCTTTCTCTGCCGCACCGCACAGAGGGCATGGAGGCGGGCAGAAAGGCGTTTCTGGAGACAAGGAAGGCGCGGGAGTGCTTGCTCATCATATCCCCTCTCTGTAACCCCCCAACCCCTTTTCTCCTCCTCCAACCCATTCTCCATCCCAAATCCTCAGCTCATGCGCTTTCTCCGCCGCACAGAGGGCATGGAGGCGGGCAGAAAGGCGCTCCTTCGCTGCAGCACTGACGGCACGTGAGAGAGCTCACTGCACGTTTACCCTCCCTTGCCCTCCCCCCCCCTTCAACCTCCTCAGCTCATGCGCTTTCTGTGGCGCACAGAGGGCATGGAGGCGGGCAGAAAGGCGTGCGAGTGCTCACTGCATGTTCACCCCCCCCTTAACTGCCCCCAGCTAATGCGCTTCCTGCGCCGCACAGAGGGCATGGAGGCGGCCAGAAAGGCGTTCCTGGCAGCGAGGAAGGCGCGGGAGTGCTCTTTCCACGTGTATGTGGCTTCAGCTTACATGGAGCTGTGCCACAACAAGGAGAGCAAGGTGAGCAATGGGGGCAGGGAGGGCAAGGCGAAGGGATGTGACTGGCAAGGAGGGCAAGGCGAAGGGATGTGACTGGCAAGGAGGGCAAGGCGAAGGGATGTGACTGGCAAGGAGGGCAAGGCGAAGGGATGTGACTGGCAAGGAGGGCAAGGCGAAGGGATGTGACTGGCAAGGAGGGCAAGGCGAAGGGATGTGACTGGCAAGGAGGGCAAGGCGAAGGGATGTGACTGGCAAGGAGGGCAAGGCGAAGGGATGTGACTGGCAAGGAGGGCAAGGCAAAGGGATGTGACTGGCAAGGAGGGCAAGGCGAAGGGATGTGACTGGCAAGGAGGGCAAGGAAGGAAGGCGCGCGAATGCTCGTTCCACGTGTATGTGGCTTCGGCGTATGTGGAGCTGTGTCACAACAAGGAGAGCAAGGTGAGGAAAGGGGGCAGGCAGGGCAAGGTGATGTGACTGAGAAGGAGGGCAAGGAAGGCAAGAGAGTGCTCGTTCCCGTGTGGATGTGGCGTCTGCTTACATGGAGCTGTGCCAGAACATGGAGAGCAAGGTGAGACACGCACGGCTGTGATTATGGACTGAGACAAGTGAGTAAAGTAAAAGTGCTCTTGCTTGCACCAGACAAGTGAGTAAAGTAAAAGTGCTCTTGCTTGCACCAGACAAGTGAGTAAAGTAAAAGTGCTCTTGCTTGCACCAGACAAGTGAGTAAAGTAAAAGTGCTCTTGCTTGCACCAGACAAGTGAGTAAAGTAAAAGTGCTCTTGCTTGCACCAGACAAGTGAGTAAAGTAAAAGTGCTCTTGCTTGCACCAGACAAGTGAGTAAAGTAAAATTGCTCTTGCTTGCACCAGACAAGTGAGTAAAGTAAAAGTGCTCTTGCTTGCACCAGACAAGTGAGTAAAGTAAAAGTGCTCTTGCTTGCTCGCCCTGCTTCTTCCCTCTGCCCCTCCTCCGCCTGCTCCACAGGTGGCGCGGAACGTGTTCCAGCTGGGGATGAAGAAGTTTGGGTCTGAGCCTGGCTTCGTGCGCGAGTGAGTTAATCAAACTACCCGTTGCTCTCCCCCCCCTTTTTCTTTCCCCCGCGGCTCCTTTGCCTGCTCCCCTCCCCTCTCGTCCCCCACAGGTGGCGCGGAACGTGTTTCAGCTGGGGATGAAGAAGTTTGGGTCTGAGCCTGGCTTTGTGCGCGAGTGAGTGGGTGGGTGGGTGTGTGGGTTGGTATGGGTGGCTGGGTGGGTGGCTGGGTGGGTGGGTGAGTGAGTGAGTAGGTGGGCTTGCCAACTTTCCCTATTCCAGGTTCGCTCACCTCCCCCACCCTACCATCTTTCCCCCTTCCAGGTTCGCGCGCTTCTTGAGCCGTCTCAACGACGGGCAGGCCATGAGGGAACTGCTGCAAGGCGCCCTGGCGTCCCCGTCCCTCGCACCACATTCCACAATCATGGTCAGTGCTCAAAATAAGGTGAGGTCAGTGCTCGAAATAAGGTGAGGTCAGTGCTCGAAATAAGGTGAGGTCAGTGCTCGTTCCACGTGTATGTGACATGGTAGCTGTGACATGGTAGCTGTAACGCTTATTTTTCTAACACTGTTCCCTTTCTCCACCTTTTTGCGCCTTTCTCCACGTTTTCCACCTTTCTCCACCGTTCCTCACCTTTCTCCACCTTTCTCTACCGTTGTACACCGTTCTCCACCGTCTTCAGCTATGGGAGGAGCTCATAGAGTGCGAGCAGCTCTTTGGGGACCTCAACTCCCTTATCAAGGTGCCCTGCGTCTGTCTTCTGAGGCGCCTCGAATTCCTGCGTCTGTCTTCTGAGGCGCCTCGAATTCCTGCGTCTGTCTTCTGAGGCGCCTCGAATTCCTGCCTCTGTCTTCTGAGGCGCCTCGAATTCCTGCCTCTGTCTTCTGAGGCGCCTCGAATTCCTGCGTCTGTCTTCTGAGGCGCCTCGAATTCCTGCCTCTGCCTGTTACAAAAGTCGAGCCAACTTCTGATTCAACTCACTGTTTTACAGTTTAAATCAATAAATGCAAGCAACTTTTTTTTTCTCTCGCTCTCTCCTGACCTGAGTTCGATCCGCCCAGAGAGGTAGGTTGCCTTATCATCCGAACGTGTCACAATTCCATAGCCTCTGATGTTTGAAGTTTCATGTGATAATCATTTTTTAAAACTCCCACCAGCAACGGCCTCTCATTCCGTGCTGAATTCCCTCATCCCCGCGTCTCTTTCCCTCATCCCCGCGTCTCTTTCCCTCATCCCCGCGTCTCTTTCCCTCATCCCCACGTCTCTTTCCCTCATCCCCGCATCTCTTTCCCTCATCCCCGCGTCTCTTTCCCTCATCCCCACGTCTCTTTCCCTCATCCCCGCGTCTCTTTCCCTGTCTCTTCAGGCACAAGAAGGTCGGCGAAAAGCTCTAGCTTTGGTTGCAAGCCCTGGCGGTGATGCCGAGCCTGAGTTGCAGGTTTGGCGGGAGCAGCGGGACCTGGTAGACCGGTTCAGCTACTGCGGCCTGTTGCCTTGTGAAGCGTCAGCTCTCCCTCCGAACCTAGAAGCAGGCTCGGCAGGTCCGAAGGCAAGCCAGGCTCGACAAAGGTCAGTGGAGGATCAGGTTCGGGAAACAGGTCAAGGGGTAACAGAGAGAGGAGAAAGAGAAGCGAAGGAGCAAGAAGCAAGGAGCGGCACCAGTGCAGCAGGAATAGGAGGAACAGCAGCAGGCACGGGAACTAGCACAGCAGCAGGGGCAGCGGTAACAGCACAAGTAGCAGCAGGGGTGAAGGCAGAGCCTCAAGAATCGTCCTTACCTCCGCCTCTCCCTCCCACTGTGTCTCTCTCTCAAGGCATAGGGCCTGCACCCCCTGCTGTCTCCTCCCTCTCTGCTGCTCTGGCCGCCGCTGCTGCTGTGCTCATGCCTCGTGAAGGGGCAGCAGGGGCAGGAGGTGCAACAGCAACAGGGGCAGCAGCAGGAGGGGCAGCAGCAACAGGGGCAGCAGCAACAGGGGCAGCAACAGAGGGTGGGGAGGAGGCGATTTCTAGACGGGTAAAGGAGGAAGCAGGGGAAGAGGAGGGGCCTGGCGCGGCTGTTGGTGCTGATGGTGCCACTGTTGGTGCTGATGGTGCCACTGTTGGTGCTGATGGTGCCACTGTTGGTGCTGGTGAGACGAAAGAGGGTGGGGTGAAGGGTGGGGCGGAGAGGGGAGAACAACAGAGGGAGGGGGCAGCAGGGGAAGCGGGTCTGAAGACACATCAGTTTGTGGCAAGTGCTGCTGTGGAGTGGAAACCTGGTGAGTGAGGGAGTGAGTGAGTGAATAGGTTGTTTTTTTGGAGGTATCTAGAGGAGTGAGTTAGTGAGTGAGTGAGTGAGGGAGGGAGGGTGGGACGGACGCGATGGGTGGGTGAGTGAGCGACGAGAGAGGAGTGAGGGAGCAGCTGGGGCAGCGGGTGTGAAGATGCATCAGTTTGTGGCGAGTGCTGCTGTGGAGAGAAAGGCAGGTGAGTGAGTGAGAGAATGAGTGAGTGAGTGAGGGAGTGAGTGAGTGAGAGAGTGAGTGAGGGAGTGAGTGAGTGAGTGAGTGGGATTCTGACAGGCTGGCTGGTGTGTGATTGGGTGGGTGAGAGTGGATGGGTGAGAGTGGATGGGTGAGAGTGGATGGGTGAGAGTGGATGGGTGAGAGTGGATGGGTGAGAGTGGATGGGTGAGAGTGGATGGATGGGTGAGAGTGGATGGGTGAGAGTGGGTGGGTGAGAGTGGGTGGGTGAGAGTGGGTGGGTGAGAGTGGGTGGGTGAGAGTGGGTGGGTGAGAGTGGGTGGGTGAGAGTGGATGGGTGAGAGTGGATGGGTGAGAGTGGATGGGTGAGAGTGGATGGGTGAGAGTGGGTGGGTGAGAGTGGGTGGGTGAGAGTGGATGGGTGAGAGTGGATGGGTGAGAGTGGACGGGTGAGAGTGGATGGGTGAGAGTGGATGGGTGAGAGTGGATGGGTGAGAGTGGATGGGTGAGAGTGGATGGGTGAGAGTGGATGGGTGAGAGTGGATGGGTGAGAGTGGATGGGTGAGAGTGGATGGGTGAGAGTGGATGGGTGAGAGTGGATGGGTGGGAGTGGATGGGTGAGAGTGGATGGGTGAGAGTGGATGGGTGAGAGTGGATGGGTGAGAGTGGATGGATGAGAGTGGATGGGTGAGTGGGGGTGAGAGTGGATGGGTGAGAGTGGATGAGTGAGAGTGGATGGGTGAGAGTGGATGGGTGAGAGTGGATGGGTGAGAGTGGATGGGTGAGAGTGGATGGGTGAGAGTGGATGGGTGAGAGTGGATGGGTGAGAGTGGATGGGTGAGAGTGGATGGGTGAGAGTGGATGGATGAGAGTGGATGGGTGAGAGTGGATGGGTGAGAGTGGATGGGTGAGAGTGGATGGTGAGAGTGGATGGTGTTAGTGTTAGTCTTCAATCTCACACTTCGTACTTTGTATTTTCTATATCCTATAGTAGTGTAATTTGAACATTGTGTTTGGTTGGGTGTACACCTACATCCGAACCAAACCCAAATGTAATCTCCAAGCAATCTCCAACCCACCAATTGGAGATTGCCTTGGGATTACCCCCAATCCTTATGGATTGCTCCCGATTCCCTTCCCCATCCATTCCCTCCCCTTCTTGGATGTACTTAAAGAGCTTCGAGCTCATTACTAATGTATCGCTTGTAAGCCTAAGTTCTCAGATGGTATCAGAGCCCTTCAAACCGCACACGCGGATCGTGATCCTCTTATCTCTGCGGATGTTCATCCCGCAAACCTCGGCGTAACCGCCTTCAATCTCGTCGCCGTTGATTCGCGACATTCGTGGGCGGAAATTCTTCCGCTCCACTTTCCCGTCACTCTCGACGGCATCTACTATCTCACTGGTAAGCGCATCGTCGGCGCTTTAACCTATCGCTCGTTTTCGTCGAACATCATCGCGTCATTCCTTCTCCTCGTCGGGCCGCCGCCCGTCGCCGTGCAGCTTCACCTTTGGGCTGCCGCCCGTCGCTCCGCATCTGCACTCCTACCCCCATCCCCCTCCCTTTCCCGCAGCTGAACAGGTGCAGCAGCGCAGCCGAGTAGCAGCGCAGCCGAGCAGCAGCGTAGCCGCGAAGCCGAGCAGCCGTGTAGCCACGAAGCCGAGCAGCAGCGCAGCCGAGAAGCTGAGGGTGGTGTGTGGGGGGGTGTGTGGGAATAGGATTAGTAGGTAGTTGACACTAAATTGGCGTTTCAGTCGAATTCTCCTTCAGAAACCCGAAACCTCAAAATTCTCTTTCGTAAACCCTAAACCTCCGGTTCTTCAAAATCTCCTTCGGAAACCCCAAACCTCAAGTTCCTATCGTTGACTCAAGAGCGGCGCTCCGCGCGACACCCTAAGGGGTCTCCATCATGGCATTAGCCTCGTCCACCATGGCCAACCCCATCACCCCACTCCGTCTTGACGCCGATGGCTCTAGCTCCAACTTCAAGGCATGGAGCTATGGGGTTGACAAGCACCTGCCGAGCCGTGACGTACAGGGATTGGATTCAAGGATGTCCTCCTCAACCGTGGCAAGGGAAAACAGCCCTTTCTCCCTCGCGAGCCGACCGAATCCGCTAGTGAGGCTGACACAAAGGCATATGAGGAAGCCGTTGAGAAGTACCGGAAGTGGGAGAAGGCCGATGCTGCAATTATCAGCGTCTTCATCGCCTCCACCCCTCCAGAACTTGTCAACACGTTCCATAACTACCCTACCTCCAACGACATCTGGAAGTATCTCCAGGATCGGTTTATGAAAAAGACTGCAGTCGGAGGTGCCATCCTCATCCCCAGCATGTTCCATGTCCGCCTTGAGGATTGCTCGGGAATGGCCGACTACATTGCCAAGGTTCAGACCATTCATGGCGAACTCAAGGAGCTGGGTATAGTCTTCCCCGAACAGGCTCCTACAGCACCTCTTCTCGTTGGTCTCACCACAACCTGTGAAATCACAAGGAAGATGCTCCTCACGCTGACTGCGGAAGACCTCACTTTTGCCAAGGTCTCCACCGCACTCCTCTCTGCCGAGAAAGACTCCACGGCCCAGGCCAAGGCTTACGCCATTCGTGCTCCCATGCCTCAAGCCAGTATCGCATCGGCCCTTGCCTCGGCGCCCCTCCAGCGCAACCGCTTCCCACCGTGCACCTACGTCGTCAAGTATGGCAACCGCAAGGGACAAGTGTGTGGTGGCACTAACCACCCCCTTGCTACGTGCTTCAAGAAGAAGGACGATGAATGGTACGCCATCCACGGTATAGACAAGAGGCCACCGAACTGGATGCGTGCGCGTAAGGCCAACCTGGTTGAGGTCCAGGACCTCGCTTCGGCTAGTGCTAGTGATAGTGCTCCTGCTAATGCCCGTATCAACCTGTTGTTCCCTGACACTGCCATGATTAATGAAGCTTCCTCCCAGTACCTCGGCTCATCACAAGCACCACAATACATAGAGTTCACACTCGACAGTGGCGCCACACACAATGTACTCAAGGAGACACTCTCCTTCAAACCATACGCAACACCCATCCCTCTCCTAGGAGCTGACTCAAGCTTCACCACTCATGCCAAGGGTTCATCCACAGTCCCGTGCCCCGCCTTCCCTTCCAGCACTGTCACTGGAATGTGCGTGCCTTCACTCCGCCACAATCTTGTGGCCCAAACGGAAATTCAGGAAGCTGGACTACGCACCATTTTCTGGGAGAACGAGAACTATGGTGATATCCTCGACCCACTCACCAACAAGGTCTTGACTCGTTTCACCCTCAATAGCAGCGGCCTTTACACGCTGCAAGTACCCATCCCACAGGTGTCAACCACCCAAACAGCGGCGGCTACCTCACCATGCTCGTGCCGCAGTTTCTCCAACCCGACCATACTCTACCACTATCGGCTCGGGCACCCAAACTTCCGCACACTTGCTGACATGGCCTCCAAGAAACATCTACTCGGCCTGCCAGCCTCACTTCCTCCACCACCAGACTCCCCCGCTCCCACGTGCCTTGACTGCACCAAGAGCAAACTGCGTCAACAGCCCCACCCGGCCTCACCCTCTGTTGCAGCAGGACCACTGGACCTGTTACACCTGGACGCCTGGGGCCCTGCCCCTGTTCCCGCACGAGGTGGTTATCGCTACTTCCTTGTTATCGTCGATGACCACTCTGGCTACGTCTCTGTTGACCTCCTCCACACTAAGGCTGCGGTTCCAGAGGTCCTCATGGCGTGGGTTAAACAGACACAGGCCGCCTTTGACCGCAAAGTCAAGCGCCTCCACTCAGATGGTGGTGGTGAGTTTTGCTACGACAAGCTCAAAGCCTTCTGCTCTTCAGAAGGCATCAAGCAAAACTTCACCCTCCCTGACAGCCCGCTGCAGAACGGTATAGCTGAGAGTCGCAACCACACCCTGGTGCAGATCACTCGGTGCCTCCTCAGCCACTCCAACGCCCCACACTCTCTCTGGGGGTACGCTCTCTACCACGCCGCCCTCCTCTACAACCTTTACCCCCACCCGCATCTTCCCGACACCACTCCAACCACACTCTGGCTCGAGAAAACGCCCACTGCTCGCTCTCTTCGCGTTTGGGGGTGCACCGCCTATGTCCTCCTCAACCCTCAGGCTCGACGACAGCACGACGGCAAGCTCGGTCCCAAGACCCAGACATGCGTCTACCTCGGACACAACGCCGACTTGCCTGACTACCTCTTCCTCAATCCCTCCACTAAGCAGTTGGTCCGGAGCCGCGACGTTGTCTTTGATGAGACCCGCCCATTCTACTCCACTTCGGGACGGGACCCTCTCTCTGACCCACCCTCCCTCGTGTGGGCAGACTTTGATGCGCCTCCTGACCTCTCGCCTGCTCCGACCCCTTCACCCCCTACCCCTCCTGCCACCGCACCGTCCCCCTCTGAGGTCTCTGACCTGCCCTCACCGGTGTCTTCGGCAGCTGCTCCTCCATCCCCCTCACTTCCCACTCCGCCGACTGTGCAGCCACCTCCGAGCGCACCTATCACCTACCATCGGCGGTCCCACCCTCCGGCCCCACCTCCTCCCCCGGTTCCCCCCACCACAGAGGAACCCGCTCTCCCACAGTCGCCCGAGCTGATCACGTACCACCGGCGGCCCATTCCCCCGCCCAAGCATCCTAAGTCAACCCCTTTGACACCGCCTGCCCCACCCTCTTCTCTGGTGGCTCATGGCACTCGTTCGCATGGCGCGGCTCTTCCACTAGCGCTGGTTCTTTGATACACGACGATCACACCGCCTCCTCCTGCTGGGGGGGATGTGCCCTCTTCCCTTCTGGAAGACAGGCATGAGGAGCTGTGTGATCTTCATGCAGTCATTCCTCAGCTCTCGCACATCTTCCCCGACATCACTGACTCACCCTCCCTCAACTTCGCGGAGAACCCGACCATCCCTATCCCTCTCACCGTCCAAGAGGCTCTCTCAGGCCCTCATGCTGCCGAATGGCGTGCTGCCATGGAAGCGGAGATTGCAGCATTCACCCGCAACCACTCCTTCGACGACGAGACTCCACCTCCAGGAGTCAACATCGTCGGGGGCAAGTGGTTGTTCCGTGTAAAACAGCTCCCAGACGAGGCCCCGATGTTCAAAGCGCGTTACGTAGCCAAGGGCTTCACCCAGCAGCAGTACCGCGACTTCTTCCTAACGTTCTCCCCCACATCCAAACCTCCCACCATTCGTACGCTCATGGATGTCGCAGCTCGAGAAGACTTTGAGATCAAATCCATGGATGCCTCATCCGCCTTCCTACAAGGACGTCTCAAGGAGACGGTGTTCATAGACAGACCAGAAGGCTTCCCAGGAGAATTCCCTCCTAACACTGTCTGGAAGCTGAATCGCCCCGTCTACGGCCTTAAGCAAGCCCCTCGCGAATGGCACAATAAGGTGAAAGAAGTCCTCCTCTCCCTGGACTTCCACCCTTCAACTGCTGACCCGACTCTCTTCATCCGCCGTCATTCTGAGTCATTCTACATCCTAGTCTACGTGGATGATTTCATCCTTGTTGCCAAAAACTCGGCTCAGATGACCTCTGTCCAGGCAGCCCTGAGCAAGGCCCTCCAGATGAAAGACCTCGGTGACCTCAAGCATTACCTGGGGATGGAGATCACTCATGATCGCCAGGCTCGCACCATTTCACTCTCCCAGGAGTTCTACATCGACAATGTGCTCAAGCGGTTTGAGATGGAGCTGTCCACACCTGTTGCCACCCCGCTGCCGCTGCAACACCTCCTCACAGCTCCAGCTGTACCCACACCAGAGGCCTGCTCTGAGCCATACCCGGAGCTTGTTGGGTCCCTCATGTACGCCATGATGTGCACCCGACCGGACTTGGCCTATCCTGTCAGTGTCCTCTCTCGCTACGTGGCCCCTGGACGCTTCACTGATCTTCACTGGAAGGCGGCGAAGCGGGTGCTGCGCTATCTTCAGGGCACCAAGTCTCACGTTCTCACACTCGGTGGGCTCTCCCCTCCTCGCCTGGAAGGTTACACCGACTCCTCCTGGGCTGATGACCAGACCGACCGACGCTCCTCTCAGGGATATTGCTTCACCCTTGGGAGCAGAATTGTCAGTTGGCGTTCCACCAGGTCATCTACAGTCTCCCTCTCCTCCTGTGAGGCAGAGCTCTACGCAGGCACCATGGCTGCTCAGGAGGCCCGTTGGCTCACCTTCCTACTCCAGGAGCTTGGTTTCCCACAGTCCGCCCCCACCCTCTGGTGTGACAACCAGAGTACCATCCACATCTCTCAAGCCCTGTGTATCACACCCGCACCAAGCATATTGAACTTCGGCACTTCTTCATCCGTGACCTTGTCCAACAGGAGCAGCTGAAAGTGGAATACGTTGCATCTGACTGCAACCTGGCTGATCTGTTCACCAAGCCCCTTGGGAAAGTTCCCCACCACCGTCTCCTAGGCGCCATGGGGCTCTGTGCACCACCCTCTCTACCATGAGTTCGATTGACGCCTATGGGGGGGTGTTAGTGTTAGCCTTCCATCTCACACTTTGTACTTTGTATTTTCTATATCCTAGAGTAGTGTAGTTTGCATATTGTGTTTGGTTGGGTGTACACCTACATCCCAACCAAACCCAAATGTAATCTCCAAGCAATCTCCAACCCACCAATTGGAGATTGCCTTGGGATTACCCCCAATCCCTATGGATTGCCCCCGATTCCCTTCCCCATCCATTCCCTCCCCTTCTTGGATGTACTTAAAGAGCTTCAAGCTCATTACTAATGTATCGCTTCTAAGCCTAAGTTCTCAGAGATGGGTGAGAGTGGATGGGTGAGAGTGGATGGGTGAGAGTGGATGGGTGAGAGTGGATGGGTGACAGTGGATGGGTGAGAGTGGATGGGTGAGAGTGGATGGGTGAGAGTGGATGGGTGAGAGTGGATGGGTGAGAGTGGATGGATGAGAGTGGATGGGTGAGAGTGGATGGGTGAGAGTGGATGGGTGAGAGTGGATGGGTGAGAGTGGATGGGTGAGAGTGGTTGGGTGAGAGTGGATGGGTGAGAGTGGATGGGTGAGAGTGGATGGGTGAGAGTGGATGGGTGAGAGTGGATGGGTGAGAGTGGATGGGTGAGAGTGGATGGGTGAGAGTGGATGGGTGAGAGTGGATGGGTGAGAGTGGATGGGTGAGATGGTGGTTGGATCTTTTCAAACCTGACCCGCAGCTCTTTCTGCGCCCTTGCCTCTCACCCTACCTTAATCTACCTGCCCTAACTTGGTTTGGCATGCCGTTCCCTGTGGTTCCTGACCTGACCTCTTTCTGAGACGAATTTTCAGGCGCCTAAAAAAAATCCGCGTGAACTGAGATGACTTATGAGGCGCCTCAGAACCTGATTTGACATGCCGTTCCCTCTGGTTCCTGACCTGACCTCTTTCTGTGCCTGTCCCTGTGCTCCCCTGCCCTGCCAGGTTCCGGTCGCAAGCATGGCATTGCAGCTTCCTCGAAGCTTCTAGAGGGCCTGCCCAGGTCCCTCGCGCACTTCGTCTCCCAGCTTCCTCCTCCTGTACCCGGTGAGCTATTTTCTTGATTTCTTTCTTTCTTGATTTCTTTCTTTCTTTCTTTCTTTCTTTCTTTCTTTCTTTCTTTCTTTCTTTCATTCTTTCTTTCTTTCTTTCCTTCTTTCTTTCCTTCTTTCTTTCCTTCTTTCTTTCCTTCTTTCTTTCTTTCTTTCCTTCTTTCCTTCTTTCTTTCCTTCTTTCTTTCTTTCTTTCTTTCCTTCTTTCCTTCTTTCTTTCCTTCTTTCTTTCTTTCTTTCTTTCCTTCTTTCTTTCCTTCTTTCTTTCCTTCTTTCGTTCTTTCTTTCTTTCTTTCTTTCTTTCTTTCTTTCTTTCTTTCTTTCTTTCTTTCTTTCTTTCTTTCTTTCTTTCTTTCTTTCTTTCTTTCTTTCTTTCTTTCTCTCTTTCTTTCTCTCCTTCTCCTGGCCCACTCCGCCTGCCCCATTTCCCCTGCCCTTCACTCCTCTGCCCCACTCAACAGGCCCCTATCCGACGTGGATTTCATAATGTCGCTCGTCATTCGAGCAGAGCTCCCACCTGAGGCGACAAGAGTTCCGTGTGTGTGTTGAGTAGTCACCCTCCCACCCTCCCCCTCCCCCCCCCCCCCCTCCCCCACCTCCCTCTCTCCCTTCCCCACCCTCTCCCTGCAGGCCCCTATCCCGATGTGGATTTCATCATGTCACTTGTCATTCAAGCAGAGCTCCCACCCGAGGCGCTAGCAGCCAAATCAGGTGGTCTGCATCGCACTACGCCACCTGGATTGGCACCTGGAGCCCCTGGGGCAGGTGGCGGGACAGGTGGCGCCATGCCATTGGCAGGCAGCAAGCGCAAGGAGCAGGAAGGTGCGGGTCCTCGTTCGCCTCCGTATCAACTACATTTCCAACTACATGTATAATTTTTATATATACTACGTTCTTTTGACATTCTTCTCACGCAATTCTCGATGAGCAGATTACCTCCCCGTTCTTTACAACCTCCCCCTCCCCCCACACTCCCCCCCCCCTTCCCCTTCCCTCCCCCTCCCCCCCCCCCTCCCCTCCCTCCTCTCCGCCCAACCCGCCCCCCTCTATCTCCTCAAAATCGACCAATCAGAGGAGGAGATTGCAAATGCAGAGGCCAGGGCACGCAAGCCCCCACCAGTGCGGGATATTTTCCGGCTGAGACAGCTGCAGAGGGCTCGGGCAGGCTCATCTGGGACAGGCTCGTTGAGCGGAGGGGCAGGTGGGACTGGGGGAGGCACTGCTAGTGGCAGTGATAGGTTTTCTGGAGGATCAATGTAGTCATGGGTATTTTGCGGAGCACTTACGAAATTACGTTAGCATTTGTTTCAAAAGAGAAAACAAATGGGGAAACTTAAGGAGAAGAGGGAAAAAATGTGTGAGATCAAAACTTATCATGAGATGTTACACAGCACACACTGCAAATCAAGCATTAGCTCTATGCCTTCCAAAGCAAGTGCTTGTGCCATTTTATTTGTACAGATGTTATGTAATGCTGGCTGAACATATATCAGATTTGTCGAATGGAAAATGAAGTTTGCGAATGCTTTGTATCTCATATGCTCAGTAATAGTAAGGTTTCTACCCCAAAAAGAAACAAGATTCGATGTTGAACGTCGGAAGGGTTGCGTAGAAATTAGATTCCTATCGTTTGCAGAATAGGGTTGTATGAAAATTGCATCTTATACAAAATTGTTCAGGTGTCTATAGTGGGTTGTAATTCATGATGATGACCTGTTCTGCTTGTGATTCGAACACCTCAGCGGAATTCGGTCGACGGACCCGAATTGCCAGTGTCGTCGAGGGGGGTCGTCAAAGCCTGGGCTGACGGGGCGGAGCACTGACGCGCGTGCGGGCCCGCCAGCCTGGCCCAGGGCTGGGCCGAGCGCACGACCGCCGCCCCGCAGCCCCGCCCCGAATGTGAACAGCGGCCCACGTTACCGGGTGGGGTCGGCGAACTGGCGACACCTCGCGCGTGGGAAAATTACCCTCGCGCGAAGGCAGCCCACACGCGCCACCTGCCCGCGAGGTCCTAGTAACCCATCGCGGCCTGCCCGGACGGGCAGGCGAGGGCCAGGCGAAAAGTCGGGGCCCCCTCGGGACACTCGACAACTTCGCGACCCGTTGCGGTGACGCCACGTGTTCGCCCGCCTACTTCGCATCGGGCAACATGCAGAATTTGATACATTGCGAATTCGATGTCGATCGCTTCGCGGCGCATGTTTTTCGCTTCGGGGCGTGACATCGACTTGCTGGCTCGGCGGCGAATGAGGACTTGTGCCACTTGTGCACGACCCCGCCAAACCCCGCCGAGGCAGGCACCACGAGGGCCGGGTGATGCCTCGACCGTTCCTGTGGGGCACCGACCCCCTTTTCTTGGTGGAAGGGGCCATCGCTCCTCATTTTCGGCATCTCGTTTCCCTTTCCACCTTTTCCCCAGCTCTGCGCCTTCTCCCACATTTCACGTCCCTTAGCCGCTTCCCTTCCCCGCCATGTCGGCCGCCCCGAAACTCGGCGAAGTGACTCCGACTTCGCAGGACTTCCCTCTGTATCTCGACCTGGGTAGTGGACTCACTGCCAAGCTCGACGAACACGACTACGCCGTCCTCGTAGACCATAGGCTAGAGTTCAACGCCCGTTGCTTGGGATTCGGCCTCAAGTGAGTGTCCGTATTGGGATGTCGACGTCGACCGCTGGATACCTTGCAGGTCGACGTAGATAGGGTTGTCCCACGTTAGGGTTTAGATCACTACTCGGTGACGCACACAGCCGTAGGTAGGCATCGTACTCCGATCACTACAGTAGGTCGGTGCCCGCATCGGTAGGCGCCATTGATTACAACGTAGCGACGGTGGTGCACCATTGTACTATCGCCATCCCCGTCAGTTGTCGGTTCCAGAACCCACGTGTCCATCCGTCGTGCCGTGCACGTCCTCAAACACATCTACTACCCATGCATGCGTGCAGGTACGCATGGATTCCCGCGGCGCCGGCCAACATGCGATTGTGGTCGATAGGACTCGGCCGGCTTCGGGCGGCGATGGGCAAGGAAGACCACTCATGCTTTGCAACGGTGTTCGACGCCGACGTAGCTGTTATCCCTCTGCATTCGAGGTGAGCCTAAGTCATGATGGTGTGCCATGATGCCTATGTCGCTGCTCCGTTCTGATCGACGTCGTGGTGCCTAGCCTGTGCAGCATCGCACCGCTTCCAGGGGCACATTGCAGCGTCGTGGTCATCCTGTACCCCGGCGACTTGTTGCGGGCCGGGGGAGAGACGATCAGGACCTCTGTCCGGCACTTCGACCCGCAAACCGTGAAGCAGTGGCACCGCGACGAGGCGATCCGCGTGCTGAAGTGAGCTCGATAGTGTAGTCGACGACGCATGCAATTTCGCCGCTGGGCGTTAAGCAAGTCTACTGACGATATGTGCCATGTTGCTTCAGGTTTTTCCGGGCGGCGGTGCTGGCCGAGCTCGGCCGCGATGGCCGGCACTGGGAGTGGCCGAAGCCTTCTGCTGAAGAGTTGGCGGCCAGGCTCGCCGACTTCAATGAACCCGTTCGAGATGTGAGTACCGATCGTTTTACCGTCCTAGCGCGATGTGTCAGAATATTATCTTATTGTTCTAGCCTGTAGTGGGGTGCTCTATAGCGAGTACAACCCTTCTAGGGTTTGCTATTTGTATCCTCATTCTTGCTAGTTCAATCCTCTTTCTTCTTCTAATTTTGACATGGTATCAGAGCAGGCCGATCCCCTTGGATCGATCCTGTGGGTGTGTCCCCACCTTGCTTCCGCTGCTACTTTTTCCTCCCGCCGTGCGCCCCGAGGCGCGCGGCGGTTTTCTGCCCGCCGTGCGCCCCGAGGCGCGCGGCGGTTCATTGCCCGCTGTGCGCCCCGTGGCGCGCGGCGGGCTTCTCCTCTACGTCGCGACCCCGCCCCGGCCCGTCGCCGCCCGTGCGCCCGCTCGACGCGGCCCCGCTCTAAGTCGCGGCCCCGCCCCGGCTCGTCGCCGCCCGTGCGCCTGCCCGGCTCGGCCCCGCCCTTCGTCGCGGACCCGCCCCGACCCGTCGCCGCCCGTGCGCCTGCCCGGCTCGGCCCCGCCCTACCTGCTCGGCCCCGCCCTTCGTCACGGCCCCGCCCCTCGAAGCGGCCCCGCCCTACGTCGCGGCCCCGCCCCGACCGTCGCGGCCCCGCCCCTTGTCGCGGCCCCGCCCTACGTCGCGGCCCCGCCCTATGTCGCGGCCCCGCCCCTCGAAGCGGCCCCGCCCTACGTCGCGGCCCCGCCCCGCTCGTCGCGGCCCCGCCCCTTGTCATGGCCCCGCCCTCCAACCAGGCTCGTGGTGGGCCCCTTTCACCACACCGCCTCCCCCCCCCCCCCTGCCATTTCCCGTCGTCCGTCGTGGCGACCTGAGGGGGCCGCTTGCTGTGGGGTGGCGGGTATGGGGGTGGTCGGTGTGCCTTCCTCCCTTTCTCCTCCTCCTCCTTCGTCTCCCACTGCTGCAGCTGTCGCTGAGGGGGGTGGTTGTGTGGGAGACTGGGTTTAGGGTTTAAGGGGGGTGCGTGGTAGTAGAGCTAGTGGTGTAGCAGTGGGTGTGTATCAGGGGGGTGGGACTGTGTGCGGGAGGATGAGCGGAGGTTGCCAGTTTGTCGTCAGCAGCACCTGTAGTCCGGGGCGCTGTCCCGGTAGCCCAGTCGTAGCCAGCTGTGCCAGCCGCCCGTGGGTCCGTTGCCCGTCCGCCGCTATTTGAGCCGCGGGGCCTGTTACTCCTGTAGTCCGGGCGCTGTCCGGTAGCCGCTGTGCCAGTCTGCCTCCTGTTGCCCGTGTGTCTGCAGCTTCAGCCGTCGCCCCCTGTCTCCTCTCCCCTCACTCTCCCTCCTCCTCCTCACTTGCCCGTTGTGACTACCACTAGCTTTGCTTATAATTGTGAACTCTAAACTATTTCTTCTTGACCTTGTGCTCAGAATGCGTGGTGACATTGTGATCCACCCTGAGCTTGTACTGTTTTGCCTGCTCTGCTGATTACACCCCACTTTGGCTATGGGGGTGTGTCAGAATATTATCTTATTGTTCTAGCCTGTAGTGGGGTGCTCTATAGCGAGTACAACCCTTCTAGGGTTTGCTATTTGTATCCTCATTCTTGCTAGTTCAATCCTCTTTCTTCTTCTAATTTTGACACGATGCCATCGCCGCCGTCGGTGCTCATCCTTGCTCTCTGCTCTGTTGTTTGCAGAAAATGCGCGACACCGTCCGGGACAGCGACGCAGGCTCTGGCCTCCTATCAATGAGCGCGCTGTGCTGGGTGGTGAAGAGGATGGATCGCCTGACCGGCGACGACCGTCGCAGTGCGACCAGCATGGACAAGGTCCTCGTTTCGGGGTTGAAGGAGCTGCGGATTCGGATGATGACATACATCAAGGAACACGTCGCACGCAGACGGTCAGGCCATGTCGGAGTTGGTGCCGATGCCTGTGACGACGACGCCGCGGAGCCCCCTTCGGCATCCCAAGCAGTCGGTGTCGCCGACACCAGCGGAGAGGCCGGAGACGGCGTCGACAAGGCAGATGAGGAGGCAGAAAGGGCTGTGGCGAGGACCGCGGATCAGGAAAAGGAGGAGGAGGAGGATGACACCGACGATCAGGATGATAACGAGGAGGATCGTGAGGAGCGTGAGCAGGGGCATGGGCAGGAGGAGGAGGAGGAGGAGGAGGAGGAGGAGGAGGAGGAGGAGGAGGAGGAGGAGGAGGAGGAGGAGGAGGAGGAGGAGGAAGAGGAGGAGGATGAGGAGGAGGAGGAGGACAAGGAGGCGGCGGCGGCGGAGGCCGTGGAGCAGGATTTCGGGTCGGTGGAGCAGGTGGCGGAGGGGGAGAAGCAGGAAGAGGGGGAGGAGGAGGTAGAGTTCCCCTGGGTCGAATTCGAGATGGAGGATGTTGAGGGAGCGGCGGCGGTGGCCGTGGAGGGAGCGGCGGCGGCCGTGGAGGGAACGGTTGGGATGTCGGCGGATGTTGTGCACGTGTGAGGGGAGGGTGCCGATGTGGAGAATGTCGGCGTGGAGGAGGCGCACGTGGTCGGCAATGTGGTTGGCGACGCGAAGGATTAGGATAACGTCGCGGCCCCGACGCCGACGGGCGTGGAGACCACCACAGGGAACGCCGGGGTGGAACGCCGGGGTGGAGCGGTAGAGGCGGGCCGTCAACCGGGTTCCTCAGCAGCTGGTCGGCAGGCAACGCCGGCCGTCGTCGCGCAGCTGCGACAGGAGAACATGTGGCTGAGGGCAGAAAATGCTCGTCTCGAGACGGCGCTCGGAGTGGAGAGGGGCCGGGTGGACAGGTTCGCGATGGGGATTGGCCACCTCGTGGACAAGCTCAGGTCGTTGGCCGACCAGGTCGCCGCCTCCGACCAGGACGCGTCGAGTCGGCTGATGGACGCGTCCTTGACCATGGCGACGACCGTGACGGAGAACATCACCGCCAACATGGGTGAAGCATGGGATGCGATGAAGGCGTACGCTGAGAGGGCGGAGAGCTGGTTGGACGATCTAGAGAATCCGGAGGGGTTTATGGCGGTGCAACGTGCGAACGCGGTCGTCGCCATGGGCAACCACGTGGACGAGCGAGGAAGGGATTGGAGGAATACATATCGAAGCACCTAGTCGCTGCGCAGACCAACATCGCCGCCGCGGTAACTCAACGCGTCGCCGTCCCGCCGCCCACGCAGCCCGCCCCACCGCCAGCCTTCCCGGACGAGCTCATGAAGTCTTTCAAGGCGGACGTGTTGAAGCTGGTGACTGAGGCCACCCAGCAGTCGTTTGCTGCGTCCGGGTTAAACCTAATGACCCAGGTGATCGGCCATCTGGCGCCTGGTCGGCATGGGTCGTCGCCGTCGGACAACGAGGCCGACAAGAAGGGTGCGAAAAGGGCGGGCGGCGGAGATGATGCGTTGAGCTCGAAGCGGAGCAAGGGAGCCGATGGGAGCCGCGGCGTCGGCCAGGTGGGTCCAGGCGGCTCGCGGAGCAAGGGAGCCGATGGGAGCGGAGGTACGAGCGTGGTCGACCAGCTGAAGAAGAACGGGGCCAAGGTGATAAGGACGCACAGCAAGGGCGATGGAATCAGGAGTGCGGAGGGGGGCCCTGTCGACCAGGTTGCCGCTCAAGAGGCTGGACCAACAGCCCCGCCATTGGTCGCCGAGAAGCCGGCCAGTCTAGCGACCGCACCAACGGCGATAGATGGCGGCGCCAAAACCGTCAAGGGACCGTCCGTCGGAGTGGCGGGGACCACGTCGATCCCCCGCAAACCCCCTGCGGCTTGCAGCGCGCCGGTCGCCCCGTCAGCCGCCAACAACGATGGGCCGTCCCTTGCGGCTACTCCAGCACCAGCAGGCACGTCTGCCGCCAAGGTTGACGCGGTGGATGCTGCGGCTAACCGCGCTGGTCCGTCCGCCCCAAAGGCGAACGCGCTCAGGGAGATGCTCAGCCGCATGGAGACCCATCGACAGGACGTGCAGCAGCCTCCCGTGGTCGGTACCGCACCGGCCACAACAGCACGTCGCTCGGCCACTCCCCAGGTCGCCGCCACAACGTCCAGTGCCCCACCTACCACGCCTATCATCGCCGCCCGTCCTCCTGTGGACCCAAAGTCCGCGTTGCTTCGCGCCTGGTTAGGCGCACGTACTGCGGCTACGCCAGCACGGGCTCAGCCGGTATCCAGCTCATGCGCGACGCCGACGTCGGTGACCGTAGCTGCACACACACTCGGTGCGGCTATTGTCGAGGCGGTGGCGGAGAAGGGCGTGAGTGCAGCGCTAGCCACGGGCGGCAGATCAGTTGACCCTGCACAGGCGGCGAAGGACCACAACGACGCCGATATCGCTGCCATCCAGTACCTGTTGGAAGCGGTAAACCGCCCCAAGCAGCCCCCTGTGCTGGCCATCTTGGACTCGGCGAGTCCCACCGGTTGTACAGCGGAGCCAAAGACGACCACTGCTGCGGTCGGCGCGGGAAAGTCGAAACGGAAGGGGACGGTCAACGCAAGGAAAGCGAGGCCGAGCTCGAAGAAGAAAACACGGGCGACGTCGGCGATGGTGAAGTCGGTGGAGAAAGGACAGGGGATGTCGACGGCGATGGTGGAGAAGGAGAAGGAGGAGGAGATGGAGGAGAAGAAGAAGGAGGAGGAGGAGGAGGAGGAGAAGGAGAAGGAGAAGGAGGAGAAGGAGAAGGAGAAGGAGAAGGAGGAGGAGGAGGAGAAGGTGGAGGAGGCGGAGGTGGGGGAGGAGGAGAAGGAGAAGGAGGAGGAGGAGGAGAAGGAGGAGAAGGAGGAGGAGGAGAAGAAGCTGGAGGAGGAGGAGGCGGCGACGGAGGAGGAGAAGGTGAAGGTGAAAGAACGGAAGGGTCATGGCATCCGCCACGACACCACGGGCGACAAGCAAGGGTGGGTGGGCGAGATTAAGGTGGTCGGGAACGAGAGCAGATACATCGGCAAGTCCCGCGACAAGATGGAGCTGGCGTACCTTCACTCGATTGTGTACCTCCTGTACGACGGTTACGTCAGCAAGATCCTCATGGCCGAGCTCACCGGCTTGGAGGAAACAGTGATGAAGCAGTGGAGGGCGGTGTGGAAGGAAGTCCGGTTCTTGCCGACTGGGATGTGGACGGTGATATGGGCACGGGGCGCGTTCCTCCCAAAGACACGGTAAGTTGGATAAACGTCGGCCAAGCTATGATGTCGACGTCGGCGTTCCTAACGGCCAGTTTCGTGTGATTGCGTGACAGGTTCGATGATATCCTCGGGAAGTATCGAGCGTACAAGACATCAAGCGATGCGCACCACGATGCGCTTTTGCCCGCGATCTGGTTCCCCGTCGATGCCGACACGAAGTCGGATGCAATGATGTCGGCCATGATTGATCGCGTGTCCATGTGCGCGGCGTATGGGATGGTCGCTGCATCCGCGGCGAGAATGGAGGGCGACACGGATCAGAAGACGGCGAAGGTTGCACAGGCGCTGTCGGCCTCCGCTTGCGCCCTGTGGTGCTTAGTCGATGGCGACGGCGCCCAGGTGGCTGATGCCGTCCGCGAAGGGAAGGCGGCGGCGATGTTGGTTGGCGCCAGCGAGACTACCGCCGCCGAGTTCAAGAAGGTCATGACGGCGGTGCTGGAGGTCGCGATCAGCAGGCAGCAACCCCTTGGGGAGGTTGCGCACAACGTCGCACCGGCGCTGGAGTCCACCGCTCTTGCCAAAGCCTATCCGGGGTTGGATGTTGAAGCCGAGGCCAAACTGATCGCACGAGCGACGGTGGAAACCCTCGCGTTCTGGGGAATGTGCCCCGTGGATGGGCCGAAACTCAGGAAGATCGGCATCGCGGTGCCGCTTGACGCGCAGATGGAGTACGACATCGAACACAGGGGGAGGAAGAGGCCGAGGGGCAAGCAGGGCAAGGACAGCTCGGGGAAGAAGGGGAAGAAGGGCAGAGCGGGCAAGGACAGCACGGCGGCGTAGTCGGCATAACAATCTGCCATGGGCGGCAGGAGGGAGCGCAAGTAGGTCTTCTTGCTAGGATGGCCTGGTATGGGCGGCGTCGATTATGTGGTTTTTTTGGGATTTTTTTTTCGTTTGATTGTATAGTTTTCGTTGGGATTTCTTTTGTTGGCTGTAACTTTTTGGTAGTGCATGTTACTAGAACACTCCTCGGCAAGGTCGACCTGATCTCTACCATGTTACTCAAATGCGGGCCCGGTTCGATGAACCCCGTCGGCGTATAGCAACTCGGCGTCGTACGGTGTCGACATAGTGCGTCTTGCTGTATGCATGTATATACTCGGCGATGAGCCTCGTCGGCTAGGCTGAGATGGTCAATGGTCGGCGCTTTGGGGAATGTGCCGCGCCGCCCAGGTGGCCGAAACTCTAGGAGGTCGGCATCGATCTGCCGTTTGACGCGCCTATCGAGCGGGCATGGACAGCATGGATGCGTAGTCGGCGCGCGGAGGGAGCGCTAGGTGGTATGATTGCTCGGTTATAGCGTGATCGGCGCCGTTTGCGCCGTTTGCATGCAGTCAGCGATGTCGACATGAATAAGGCACAATGAATTGCACACACATGGTGGCGACTATGTCGGAGTCCGACATATCTGGTTCGGATGTATGTGTTGGATCATGTATGTTCGTGTTGCATCAAAATCAACAAGTACGATGGGAACACTACGGTTTGCTAAATTAGGGCATCATCAACCTACGCTAACACATATACACCGAGGATCTTCATGCCGACTTCTTGCGCTTTGACGGAGGACGCTGCGCAGGTGCGGTCTGCTTGGCCAAGTCGGCCACGGTCTTCGGCATCTGCTCCTCCCAGGTGTCTGGAAACAGGCGGTCGACCCACGTCGTCGGCTTCAGCTCGAGCGCCACCAGCGCACAGGCGAGGCGTAGCTTCGAGACCACCTTGGGGCCAAGCCCCTTGACGCCCATGCCAGGCTCCTTGGACATCGTCGGTGCCGTCTCCGGGTTGAGCACCGTGAGGGCATCGCAGAAGGTCCCAATGCCCGGTGCCGCGATCGTGTTTAGTGCATCGACCACGGCTTCGATGTCGGCATCGCCGTCGCTCGCGCGTAGCTGGCGCACCGCATCCATGGCCTTCAGCATGCGGCGCACCCTCATGTTGAGTGCACCCTGGGTCGCGCCTTTGAGGAGGGTGTGGCGGTCGATGAACCCCGGCTCGGCGACCCTGTCGCAAAGACGACGGGTGTCATTGGCGGTGGCGGAGTTCCAGAGGCGCCAAGCGTCCCGCACGGTCTTTGAATCCCGCCAAGGTTGCACCACGTTGAGCTCGTAACTGGCCTCCTCTGCCGTCTGGGGGGGTGGCGGGGGTTTCCCATCATCTCTCTTGGCTCCGGTCCCCGTGTTGGCCGAATCCGCGGAGCCACCCTCGCCCGGAGTTTGATCGGTAGCCGACGGCGGCGCCGCCGGCATCCTCCGGGCTTCTGACACACGGAGTGCCTCGGTGAGTCGAGCAAGCTCGGAGGTGAGCGACGCGATGGTGTCGTTTTGCTTCTCGATCGTCTCCTGAAAGCCTAGCTTCTCGAGCGCCGAGCGCTCGACCTCCTTCTTCAGCGCCTCCTTGAGGGACATGTTGTGATACTGGGTGTCCATGCGCACGGATATTTCCTACAATGTTGAGTGTGCGGAAAGGCGACAAGAGGTTAGAATTCACCGGCTAAAATTCAGCGACGCCGACATGGTCGGCGACTCACCTCCGGTTGTATCTGAGTCGGGTCCCGGCGCTTTTTGATCGTATCGGTGTCGACCGACTCGACCCTTTTCGCCCAGTGCTGGAAGAGGGCAATCCTGCAGAGCTTGGAACCTTGGACGTACGGGTGCCACGGTGTGCGGACGAGCTTCACCGCGAGGTCCTCGGCGACGATTCGTCGGAACATCACGAGGGTGCGCAAGAAGTGCACTGCGGCTGCAGCGGCGTCGCTCCCGTTGACGGCACGCGTCTCCGCCTGCAAGTCGGAAAGTGGCGTGGGTTAGTAGGGAGTTGGGCAGCCAACTAGGCCACGACGACTGAAAAACATTGTCGGCGTCGCGTGACATACATCGCGCAACATAGCATCCACGCCGGGGAAGATGTGCTCGGCGAGCAGGTCCAGGAGTTTGTCGGAGGGCTCGACCCTGCTGCGCCCCAAGAAGTAGTCTTGCTTGAGTCCCGAGTAGCCGGCCTTCTGCATCACCACCCCAACGGGAATGGCCGTGATGTACGCACGCGTCATCTTGTCGAGAGCCCAGTGTCCCAGCTCGGCGATCTGGGCGCGCGGCGTCCCTCCGATGGCTAGCTCCTGCGCACCTCCGGCGCGGGCGGCGTGCACGTTCCTTTTGCAGAACACCTTGTTGGTCCTCCACATCTGCCGAGTCCAACGTTGGTGGGTGGCGGAGGAGAGCTCCTCCTGCTCCTTGTCGTTTCTGGCGAAGAAGAGATGCTTCTTGTACCAGCGTTCGCGTTCTGTGGTGTCAAGCGGCGAAAGAAAGTCGGTGCCGGAGAACTGACCGATCTGGTCGAGGATGAAGTGCAGCCACAGGCCGGTCTCGCCGACGGCGCACAGCTCCGCTTCCAGGTGTCGCGTAGCATAGCTCTGCTGAAGACGGGCATCCTTGGAAGTCTTCGAGTTACGCGCGGCGATCACCATGACGACCGGCTGGCTATCCGGGTTCACCTCCGAGGTGCTCGCCAGGTGGTACAAGAAGACGTCGGGGAGCGTGATCTCGCGGATGCTGGCGCCGCGCAGGAGAGTGTGGTGGGAGAGTAGCGTGAGCACCTTGATGAGCAGGAATCGCCACAGCGTCTGCGACGGAGTGGTAGCCCGCGGGTTCCACGCCGCCGCCGCCCATGTCGGCAGCACCCTCATCATGATCTGGCGGAACTGCTCGGCGGTGTAGGTATCGCCGATGGTGCCGCGTCGACGGTCGGCGCAGTTCCTGAACGCAAATCGGCGGGGAAAATCTGTTAGACTGCGTAGACTTCACAGTGCACAGCGATATATAATAAGGTTGTCGACCAACTTACTTGAGGTCCCTCTCGTTCTTGTGGTGGACGTTGAACCGCACCTCCGATCTCACCACCGAGATCTCCCTCATGATGCCCAGCTCCTTCTCTCGGTACAGCGTCGCCTCCACCCTCGCCGCCATCTGGCATGCCTTTATGCGCCCGAGGATCGTGTGCACAGTTGTCGACCTCACAGGCCCCGTTCGCCTGGCATTGTTCTCCTCCCCGAGCTGGTCAACAATGAGGTTACACTCACGGCTCATTTGCTTCACGTAGGCGCGCAGCCGGGTTTCGGTGACCCTAGGGCCGTGCAGCCAGATGTACTGTCGGCGGACCACTTTCTCGTTGCACCAATCCTTTTTCTTGTTGTCGCGGATGTAGTGGCCGATCTCGTCGACGTGCCTAAGTCGTTGCTCATGGGGTAGCTTGTCGCGTATCTGCTTCAGCATCTTCGCCGCCCACTTCTTGTAGTGGTAGATGAACGCGGTGTACAGCCTGAGCGTGTTATTCTTCTCCAAGCATTGTAGGTGTCGTAGGGCGTCCATTATGAGCACGTCAATGCTGGAGTACACCATGTCGTCCACTACAAAGTCCGTCGCCTTCCACCCTTCGCGCGGCACCGCCATGTGCTGATTGTCCTCCTTCTCGTCCTCTTCGAGCATGTCACGTATGTATTCAAATTCCCGCCTAAGGCGTTCTTCCAAGGTGCGCGGATTCGTGCTATGCGGAGGACGGTCGTCGACTTCGTCGTCGCTCTCTTCCACGTCCTCGTCGTCGTCATCACCTTGGTTTTCCGAGCCGGCCGGCACCGACGAAGGTCCAATCTGCCCATCTGCCGTCGGTGTCGACTTCTTCGTAAACTCCCCAATTGGCGGATTCGGTATGTCCTTGGTGTACTCCCCTTCGGGAATCTGAGTAAGTTTGTCAAGATCGTAAAGCAACTTCAGCGTCTCTACGGGGGCAGAGGACGGACTGTGGTCGGTTGGGGTACCAACGTCGGGCATGTCGACGTCGTCCATGACCGCTCGTATGCTCTACCGCCGGCCGTGGAAGAGGGAAAGATTGGTAAACCAGAGATGGTACTGATTCACGGGTGCGGTGTACGCCCTAATCGTCGTGCGGCGGTCTTCCTCGAATTCCCTCTCAAGTGCTTCTAACTCAGCGTCGACCTCGAGTCGTTCCAGTTGCGCTTTGATGTCGGCGTCTACCGAATCGGCGGGGGGTGGGATAAGTTGTTGTGGCTGTTGGGCACTAGCCCTTCCTCTGGCCATGCGTCGCCGACTCGGTAAGGTTGGGAGATGCTATCGTCGCCCTGATCTATCGTCGCCGACTTTCCTAGATGACGACCTAGAACCTAGTAAGGCGAAGTCGACGATGGTCGACCCCAACACCGTCCTATGGCAATCTATTCCAGGTCGTCGCCTTTGTGCCGCCGCTCGGTCGACTCGGCCGTCGAGTAACCTACACCCGCAGAGATAGCGAGGGTCCTGTGAAGAAAACGAAGTGCTAGATGGCGCACAGGAGCATGAGAGAAACATGAAGCTGAACCGGCAGAATGAGAGCGTTGTGCGTGGTCAAGGAGGGGTATGGTTGCGAGCCACTGCGCACCTGCCGCGCTCCACGCAGCCCTCTTTGCAAGCGCCGCTGTGCACGTGCATGACGTGTCACGATCGATGCATGTCTAGTGTCACGCCGCTCTGCGCTCAACGGCACTCCCGCCGGTGCCTTGCCACGGTGGAATTCACGTGCGCCACGTGCAATAGGCCAATCACCTAGTGCCAATCACCTAGTTCCACTCTCCCGAAATGCCGTAGCGTCCTGCTCTCCCGCGCAAACCTCATCGACCTGCGAGTAGGCGCGTGGCCGGAGGCTTGGTCGACGCCGACATTCCCTGAGTCTGGGGCTCTCTTCGCCTATGCATTGTTTGGTCCGCACAGAACCATCCGCGTGGGTCGTGCTGCTGC